CACACACACACACACACACACACACACACACACACACACGGTGTGTTTAGCCTACGAATTAGACGGATCCCAGAGGTTCAAAGGGGCTTTTCGAATATGGTCCGCCACGCTCCATCTCCCCCAACCACCACACCTTTCTATCGCCATATCCTCGCAAAGGAAGGACCGCCGTCTGCGTTTATATAATATCCTTTTGGCGACGACGACGACGACGACTCCGTCGTTCATTATATAGGGACGCGTCCTGCTGCCGATCAAGTTCCGTCGACCTACACAAATAGGTATATATATATATATGAATAAGGTTAAAAGTTAAAACGAGTGTAAAGTCGGTTGCGATTTCCCAGTCCCGTGCTGTATTGAATTGGATCTTACCTGTGTATTATTTCAATAAATAAATAAATAATACACCCATGCGTATGAGCAATGACTCCGATCCATTCAAACCTCTCCGATAAACCTCGAGGACGTTACAAAACGTCACATTATACGTATATCATCGTATCGGATACCAAAAATCAAAATAATAATTATTCGAATACCTCAAATGTGTGTATAGTATTATACTATAATAATTATTATTTAGTGCATTATTTAGACAAAAATAGTGTGCGGGTCGCATGATATTTTTTCAGCCTATGGAGAGCGATCTTACTATTATCATATATAATAGCAAAATTATAGTTCATAATAAAAATGCATTAACTTAAGATTTTGTGGAAAAGAAACCATTTCATATAAGTAAATATAGGGCAAGTTGATAGTATTTTTTTTATTGTTTGTCAGATTTTTTCATATTTGGTCACTGTAAATGTATTTTATTGCCTGTAGTCCCAACTCTCAAAAACAATACAAGTACCTACAGGAATACCATGAATATTCAACCTGAGAGTTGTATCAAAGTGGATATGTTAATAATACGTAGTTACAAGCGGTAAGTGCTTGAGGCATGCATCTGGGATATTCGTCACTATAATATTTATACACAAATCATAAACGTTGTTAATATTTTGACGTCAAATGTAATAGTTTATAGCTCACTAGAATACGGAGACTTGTAATAATTGAGAATCGATACAAGTCACAAGATGGTGGTACATCAAGGAAGTGACAAATGAATTGGTTAATATTTTCTAAAAGAATACAGTCAACATGAACAATCTCAAATTTGTGCTTATCGTATTTGATAATAATGTACCTAAGTATCTAAAGATGTATCTTCCAATTAATAATGCGAAATAACTTTAAAGTAAACAATATTTTTGAATACCATTGATGGTGATGAAAAAATGTAATCGTTCGATTGGTGGCCTCACACTATAAAATACAGCTATATATTATTATATTTTTTGGTATGTCACATGCACGCTGAAAACGGGAAGAGGCGAATTCGCTAGCTGCAGGGCGATTCGATCGCGACGCCTCTACCACCACATGCAAAGGCTGGTATGACAGGAGATATCGATTTGAATAAAATTTTTCCATCTAGCTGGTTTTTGATGCTTTAATAATAACGATTCTGTTTTATAATATGATTTATGTGCCTAGAAAATACTCAAAACGAAATGTATACAGATCACTGCAGCTGGCCATACTTATTTTGATGAAACCGAAGACTGGGAGAATATTTTTTTCCATAGAAAACTATTCTATTCGGTGATGGTTTGACGAAAGTGAAAAGAGCAGAAAACGGCTTGTATCATGATAGCCATAGTGTTCATCCAACTCAGGAAATATTGAATGAATAATATGGTAAATGCACGTGTAATGAGTGCGATTAATAGTGAAACTATTGGAGTAATTTTTTTTTTGTAACGATGGAATAAAATATTTTTAACATTTATGCCTAAAAATCTTAGTGGATGAGGGTGAGGTGAAGCGTTATTTTTCTACTCAAATAATTCACCAATAATAAATCTATACATATATCAACACTTTTAAGCAGTCATTGACGTTTATCAAATCGTTTATTTGATGTAAAACTAGTTAAAATATATTAAGTTAATTCTATCCAAGTTATGTATATATGCCAAGGTGTCCCTGCTCATTTTCAGTGTGAATATTACCCACTTGCTCATCACCACAGGTTACGCCTATGCGTGTGATATAGTTGATCAGCGACAATAATAATAAATTATATACCTAATAAAAATTTGTACTTATTATATGTTTTATATACTATACATTCACTTCTATGATAAAAGCAATCGGCCACATAGGTAAAGATTATCATTTTTAAGTATGATCAAAGAATTTGTTGTATCAAATATTTCTGAAGAAAACCATAACTACTTTCATATACTTGATATTATAATCTATTATATATAATATATATAAATAGTTTTACCTATTGGCTAATAAAGTATAACTAATGCATTGCTGTGGAAATTATTTATAATATTAATGTACTGATATTATTAAGTATTTTAATTTATGGTGTTAAGAAAAGTTCAAATTGAATATTATCCTTTAAGCAAATTTATTTAAATGTTCAGTTACAGTGGTTGAATAATAGATTTTTATATCATAAATAATTGTTGTTTTTATCACGACAAATGGATACGATACACGAAGATACGCAGCAAGAAATTATATTAGATGTGAAGTTTATCAAAGGTAGTGAACCAATTCTGATAGACGACGAAGAGAACAGGGTACGATAATTATTATTCTCACATATTATGTTCTGTTTTGTTCTATTTATAAGTGTGATGGTTAAACATTGTTTTGAAAGTATATCGTTATAACAATAGCTAACAATAGTTGACTATTCATCACATGGACTAGCAAAATAAACTAAAACAATAATAATAACTTATTTATTATTATTTATAATAATAATTATCCAAGCATGTAAGCATTTCATTTTTATCACTAAAAAATGCTATAATTTTTAAATCGATATTTTTTTAGGTCTTTTATCAAATTTACCATTACCTTCTTGAATCCAATGAATTTTAAACATAAAACATATTATAACATGTAGCTTAAATAGCATAATTTGCTTCGTGTGACAAATTTAAAAATAATAAATCATGCATATAAGTATGCAATTTGTTACATAGAGAAAAAATGAAATTACAAATATGACAAAAGTTATGATTTTTGGTGGTCCAGGCAGAATTTTTAAAGAAATTCTAGTTTGTACAATTAGTATTTTGTTGACTTTAAAAGCTGTTTTTTTAAACTCTTGGCTTACTTAATTGTTAGTAAAAAGTTTTAGTAATTTTTAATAACAAATTATAAACTGCATTAAAATTGTATAAGTAAATATAAATAGAACTTGAATAATTCAATTACAGTAATTGATACTCAACCCTGTTTTTACACCCATATGATTTAAACAGCTTAAGCTCAGCCCTAGGTAGTTGGGACTCTAGACTGTATATAGCAACATAGGTACGGTAATATAGGCCATAGCTATTAGCTGGTATTTTAAATACCATTTAAATACCGTCTATTAAATAGACGTTGGTCGTTGGGTTAATATTATTATTTCACTATAAGAACTCAGTTGTTGAAATATATATTATTAAGTGCACGATTATATTTTTTCGTAATAAAAACACCGTGCACCAAAACAAACACTACGACCTCAACATAATTTTAAAAATAATTTTGCATATTGTGATCTTAATTATTCGCTCGGTGTATTATATTAAGTATATTTGTACAGGGATAATACACCTACCAACAATACATTTGTGTGTGTGTGTGTGTGTGTGTGTGTGTGTGTGTGTGTGTGTGTGTGTGTGTGTGTGTGTGTGTGTGTGTGTGTCGAGTGTTTGTTGGTGAGATTCGCTCATCCGACATCAGTCTATCGATTGCAAAAAATAATTCAACCAGTTAATTAGTCATCGAGGGCCCAAAGAGTAACATAATTTGTGATAATGCATGAAACAATTATTACAAGGATACCATGTGACAATTAATAAAATATCATGTATTTAGGGCTGTATTTTACTGAAGGTATATTTTATGGATAATTTATTCAAGAAACAAACAATTTATTCCGCTTTTAGTTTGTTTACTTTATTTCGTATTCACGTCCGACCATTCTAAGTATGGTGATGTATATGTAAAAAAAATATTAATAATAATAATAATAATACAGAACAAATAAAATGAACGCCTACCTAAACTAGTAAATAAATTATTTAAAAGATAGTACTTCAAAAAAAAAAAAGAAAAATAATATAATATAATATAGCTTTATCAAGATAGGGAAAATTATTTTTTTTTACATAAGCTGGTCTTTGTCGTAAAAAATAAAAACACATTAAAACTTAAGAAATATGTATGAGTGTATGATATTAAATAGCATCGTCTGTATAACGAGTCTGGTTCGGTAGGAGATCCGGATCATGGTTCAGGACCCTTTTTGTCAGACGCTGGGATTGAACGTTAAATATTATGTTACCTACTAAAGATGGATAGCTGCAAAAGACACCGTACGTAGGATTACCACGACTAGAGGTGTTATGTCTTATTTTTTTCAACTTGACTGCGCGTAGGTAGAGATCTCTTAGGGGAGAGAAATAAGTTTGTAATTATAAAAAAAAATCCTTGTACCTACCACATATAAATCGATATTTATTTATACATATATTATATTTCAAAAAATATACATATACTATACATACTCTTTGTTAGTGTCTTTAACTTTGATTCCCATGTATTATTTTTTTTAAGTTACTATTGATGAATGATGATTTTTGATAACTTTTTCCTTTATTTCTAACCCACGCATGCAAAGAAGAAAATTTTCCTTCAACAAGTAGGATTTTGTGTTTATTGATTTGATATAAGAGTGAATTTACCTATTATAAAATTTAAAAGTTAGAACATTATCTATATGATACATTACAGGATTTTATTGATATTTTTATTTCAAAGCGCTTTATGAATGTTTTAAAATTGTAATATTTTATAATGGTAGTTATAAGTTATAACTCACTTTTAAATTGAAATATCAAGCCTTTTTAATACTTTAACTTTTAAGTTTGATAACAGTCAATTCACTGTAATATTAAAGCTAACAAGTAACAATATAAAATTGTATCTGTTTATATAGCCAGTATACATTTTAGAATTTTATAAAAAAGTTATCACTGAGTAAAAAAGCTTTTAAATTTAATGCAACGTTCCTTATAAGTCGTTTTGATAACAATTCAAAAATATTAAAGATACATTGGCACAATTATTTTTTATACGCATTTCAAGTTCAAACGTTGACAAAATTTATCGAAATCCCGGAAATTCGCTAAATATTTTTCAATTAAAAATTCATAAAATATTTTATTTTTATTCTAATATTTGAAAATCGTATAGAAGATAGAAGATGAGTTTCTACCTTTAACAAACAAAAAGTTTGCTCGAAAGTATCTCTATTCATATCCGTAAGTTATTTTCGATTTTTATTAATGAGAACCGCTTGCTATAATTGGAACGAAAGGCCAAATGATTCACACAAACAAAAAATTGTATACCTAGTTGAAAAATCAAAGCCTAGCTCACCAGCTCATTTATTCAGTTTAAATGGTCTGAAAACCAGTGCCGAGTTTTTTACCAGTGCACACTATTTCGACATTGCTTGGTAATCGCGTGAAGAGTTTACAATCGTCCAGGCAGACGGTGTGATGCAGTGTTTGATTATAATATTATAGGTGTGTGCGCACGGGATATGTGTAGGGTATGCCAACCCATATTCATTAATCATTGAGTCTATAAAATAACCCATTTTATTCCCTTGATGGCTCTGTTTTTGTTTGAAGAACAGAATACTTCTTTAAAATGTAAAAAAAAAATTAAATACATTCCAGAATTAACATTGTTCTATAAAAAAATCACCAACAAGTTTTATATTTTAACGTCAATACTATTTGTGATCTTATTACTGCATTTTTCTAAAAACTTTTTTAGCGGAAAGTGTTCAATTTGTTGTTGCACATACTCCGCTAATGAAGTCTGCGCACTCCTATGTAGTACACTGTACTGCAATCTACATAATATTATGTATCCGTAGGTTTATGATCATTACGAAACGTACAAGCATCACGAACAGCGATTAATGATTATAATAAAATATAATGTTATTCTTTTGCAGGGCAAGTACGACGGCTATCCACCTGGATACAACAAAGTGTTCGAGTACATCTACCCACCGGTGGAATGGATGGAAGACGGCATGAAGTGGCGACGGGTCGCTTCCACCGAGCCGGCGGACCGGAATCAGGTGGCGGCCCTGGCACAAGACCTCAAGTCCAGCCTATCGCACTGGCATGCCAGAATGCACGGAGTTTGTCTGGTCAGGAGGGAATTGTACAAGCAGTGTTTCAGTAAGTTATGATATTACGCCATATTATTAAAATATACACCTAGCTGTGATTATGTAAGCAGTGTTGTGATGATCGGTAACATTTTTTTATTGTAAATATAAGTTTTTGGGCTGGGTTACAAGTTTTTTTTTTCGTAACTAATTTTACCGAGGTCGATTTTCGTAACTACTTTGTGTATTGCCATAGATACGCAAATCAACAATAAAAAAAATTTAATTGAATTGAATTCCTAACAAAATGTTAATTGTGGCATGCTACTAGATATTTGTTCACTTCAAAAACATGAGTATGATGTATCAATTTTCATTGTGAAGGAAAAATATCTAGTGGCATTCTATACTTATACAATGTAATATTAATTTAACAATATTTTTTATCTGAATAGAAATGAGATATCTGAACTCAACAATTACCTAAACAAATTGAAAAATTTAACATAATATCTAGATGGAAATAATGAGGTCATTTTTTTACATCTTATTATTGAAACATAATTTAGTTACATATTATAAGTATATAATCTCTATGCTCTTGCTCGCGTATAAAATATAATTGTAATAATTTTGTTTAATTATTTAATAATTATATAGAAAAACATGTTAAATAATAAATTTTATTTGCCTACCCATAAATTATCTAAAACTTGCATCCAGATCTCTATAATATCTATCTTTGAAGGCAGTTAGATACCAATTTTATAATTGATCTAATTATAAATTTAACTATTGTACAACACTGGTTATAACATAAAAGTACCGATTTAGGGTGTAGATATAACAATATATACCAATAGAGTAAATCGACGTAAGTCTCGACGAATTTCAATTCACTGGGAACAAAAAACTGTTTGAGCTTTGAGGATATTGAGGAAACGTCATAAGTTCATATATTTCCATTTTCGTTGAAAAATATTCTGATACCTACTGTTAAAAATGTACAACATATTTTTATACAGGTACCATATTACATTAAGTACTCGGACATAAGTGACATGTTGAAGTATATATTATTTTTCAGAATATTTAAAAAACATTTTATTGCTTCGTAAAAAAATGTAACCATTTTTTTTTCTTACGATGTCGGTAAATAATAAAGTTTAAACGGTATTTCCTAACTATATAACAATATGGAAATCTTCTATATATCTATACACCGACACAAGTAGACAAAAACAAGAAACAATAATACATTTATTGATGTCGTCCAAGTAATAACGAAGGAAAAAGGATCATCCCCGTTTTTTCCATGATCCGGTATTGTTGAACATTTAAATATATTATTTTTACCCATCTATAACGCATGCTAGACATTAAATTCTCTATAGCAATAAAATATAAGGCTTATTATTATCTACTATTCTCACCTCGTCTCCGATTCTTAGTTTTCGATTTCCACCCGAGATAAGAGTTCAATGGATTAAAGATAGATACCGTGAGAAACTTTAATTTTGTTCAAATTATCGAGAGTAATAAATTATTAATATTAACAAGCTATACATATAATAATATTAGACTGTGTCATGTAATGTGAGTTTTAGTGGGATTAAAATTGTATTAGACGAGACGACGTTATCTCTTCGATATAATAAGTATTATCTACTGCTCGTAATATACCAAGTACATACTCCACCTATTTTTTGCTTTAATAAAACATTTATTAAAATTCTGATATTTAGAATTTTTAATAACACTTGAAGCCCATATTTTCAAAAACTTAGATTTCTTACACCATCTAAGGAGACTCTAATAGCGATACAAACTTCTGTTTTTCAAATGATAACCATCTTTTTTACTGTAAATAATTGTTATTAATATAATTTTTTGAAGATTTTAACGCTTATTGATCAAAATTCAAACGAGTTGTTTCTAATGATTTTTTACGCACACAAGTTTTTCAGTGAGTTAGTTTTTACAAGTATGCAGTATTGCAGTATAATATGTAATATTCGGTCTTATCCTCAGACAACGTTTACAAATATTAAAAACTGTAATAAATTAATATTGTAATTATAATACTAGAAGTAATCTAAAGTAAAATTATTGAATAATCATAACCTCAATATCTAAATAACTTGAAAACTACTCGTTAGAATTTCGACTTAGATACACATATTTTACAATTTACTGAACGTCGCCAAATAATCCGAAATAATATAGTTGATAATATATAAATAATAAATAAATAAAGCGAATAGTACGTTATTATTATTTATTATAGAGTTTTAAAATTTTATTTTATTTTATTTACTTGATGATTTATGTGAAAAACAAATCTTAAATTTAAAATTTAAAATAAAAAATGTTTTAATATCTAGTTATATAATTTGAGTGAAAGAGTATTTTAAAACTATTTTTATTGTATGAAACAAAGATAACCCATAAAGTCTACTATGTAGAAGTTACTTTATACATCTATATAAAACAATTTAAACTTAACTGTATAACCTCATAAAGTTTAACGTCAAGTGTTATATAAGTCACAAACTCATATACGCATAACACATAAAACATCATAAATTCATAACATTTTTTAAATATAAAATAAAAATTGTTTGATGTCTTATATTTAGTATTTAGTATTAATTATTGTTACTCGAAATTGTTTGATAATATTTTCAAATTATAATTTTATATTAATACAATTAATTATAGAAGTGCTATTCGTTATTATTTGTTATAAATTATAATAACATACTGAATAATATTGTTACTAACAAAGGTCAGACCCAATTATAAAAACTGCAATAATTACGCCATAATTTGGCTCCAAAAACGAATAATAGACAACCAATTGTTATATGCAGATGGGCGATAAAGTTATATAATATAACCATTAACAGGGTAATACCTAAACTACAACAATCGACTTTGATAAATCATTAAGGATCGATGTTTGCTATATGTATGTAGTCACTCATCGATACTTATCATGTTTATCAGGATATGCATCGAAAATATTTATTATATTTTTAATAGTTTCGTTGAAATATTTCATAAAGAATGAAATTTTCTATTTTGAAATATTTCAAGTTCAAAACTAATTATGAACGTGACTAAAATCGTTCGTACAATTTTAGGAGAAAACGTAGGTAGGTTAACTACCTAACACCCAGCCGTGGCCAGTCGGTTATATTTCATACTATCAATGATGCCATATTCAGTTTTATTTTATTCATCGTTTCATTATAATGTTTAACGAAATATTATACGCACATGATGATTTTCAATTATTATATTATTATACCAATTATTGTATCAATTCCGTACACGGGTTACAATAATATATTTTAACTCCGGACGCGCTGTTTTTATTAAATTAACTATAATATTATATTAAGAGGACGTGATATGGTATACGCTAGTCCTATAAATGTACAATATGTCATGTGCAGGCACTACATGGGACCAATATTAGAGTCAATTGACTATTATTATCAAAATATAAGAATATTATTAGATATCAGAGACGTAGAATTTTTTTTTTTCTAGTACATAATATTGAACATAATGGTGATCGTATCTTAACAAACAATGTATAAAGTATAAACAAATTGAATATGCGCAGAAAATGGAAAATGCTACTTAATATTGTTTTAACTATTTTGTTTAACTATGTGCATAATGTTAACTCATCAGTAGGTACAAATCAATAATGAGCTAGATATATTACTAGATATATTACTAGAATACAACTAAATAATACGTAATTTAATGATTTAAAAATTCGCTCAATAAAATACTAAAATTTCACTTATACATTTATATATTAATAAAAAACAAATTTTTCCCAAAAGCCCAAGCTTTTTATAATTAATTTTTCCAAGTTCTTTCTGATTCATTAATGTTATACCTAATACAATTGTACATGGATGATTATGCATATAGTATGCCACAACAGTGTAACACACTGATTAGTTTTTAAATGATTAAACATAATAGATGAAACACGAATCATACAAATTCTAACAAATCGTGGCTACTTATTGTGAATAATAATAATTATTATTATTACTATTTATCATTGATCAGTTTCCTAGTTGATTTTTTAAACCAATAATGGCAACCACTTTTTACCACATATTTTATTATATAATCAAAAAATATATCAAATATATCCAAAATTAAGTATCCATGAATTATGTATACAATTTTTTTACTTTATTAATAATATAAACAATCTGTATACATTGGCATAATAAGAGTATGAGCTAATTTACAGGAATTGAAAATGTTGATTGAAGAAGCCAAAAATGTAATTGTATTTTTTTTTTTTTTTGAATTAAGGGTTTAGTAGGTCTCTGCACCATTTTGGCTTAAGGCGACGAGGAAGGTTACCAGAGATGGTTAATGCAGCTACATTTTTTTTAGTGCATTTGGATGAGAGTTAAGGCGTAGGTGCAACGGTTTATGATCATTTTTTCATTTTTGCCTCTTCTTGAATTGTTTTCATGTATAGGTATTTATGCAGGGTGTGGTTAAATACATATGCTGGAGAATTGGTAATTTTCCTTAGTGTTTTATTTTGGAAACATTGAATTTTATTTAAATTAGAAATGTTTGCATAAATTAATATAGATAATTTATTAGTTATTTCAATTTGGATAAGAACAGGCGTTGACAAAACGTACGATTCGCATAATATAACTTATAGGTATGGTTTAATTTTTATGGCGTTCTCTAAAATTTAAAAAATATACCATTATAGTCAAGTTTATTCTATTTCTAAATATCTATTTATTTTTTATGTGATTTGTTTAATTGTACCGAACTAAATCCTATTTATAATGTGCAACCAAAAAAAAAATCAAGCATAAGAATCTTAAGAAAATTTACTTGAATTTCCTCACGTTAATTCTATGTTTAAATTATTGAATAGTAATGAATAATGATACATCTAATTGCTCTCCATAACTACATACTCTTTTGCTGCTGTCACAGTGATATTTGTTTGTTACTGTGTAATATTAAAATTAATTCGATTGTGAGTGACGTTAATCAATATAATCCACATATTACAAAATATAGCTCATTTAAAGTTTTATTATGTTAGATGAACTGATACGGCAAGTGTGCGTGAATAGCATTGATCGAGGAGAATTGTTAATCAAAATTCGAAACGAGTACAATGCAAGCATAATGGCTCATAAACGTTTATTTGAAAGCGGTTTAATATTTAGAATTAAACATACTACATTGGTAAGTAAGTTAATGTTGAGTACATAATCTGGTTTGTCATTCTCACTATCCTTTGGCCTTCGCCTCTCTTATCTCATACTTGCTATGTTTTGTTCACGTTTATACATTTATATTATATGCTTTTACGTATTTATATATTTCCATCAAATATGATTAAATGTATTAATAAAGGTCCACTTTGTCGAATAAATTTGAAAAATATACCTAAATCATAATACGTAAATAATATTATAATATATACATTTTTTTTAAAACTAATTGTAGTATATATAATATTGTACATTCTGCATTACATTACATATAATTAATTGTAAATAATATTCATTTACGTAATTTTGAAGTACTGAATTCATCACTACAACTGGTCTATATACTATTGTAATAACTAATAAGTACATGATGTTCACAAATTAATCAAGTTGTACTAAATTTAAATACATATTATTAAATTATTTTGGTAACTTATATATTATAACCCATCTACTGTATATATATATACAGGGCGAACCAGAAATAACTAGCAGATTAAATTAACCAACTAAGTTTGCAATAAGTAATAATACTAATACCTAATAAGAATAATTTCTTATCTATTTTTTTTTTAAACTTAGATTAATATGAATATTATTTATTGATGTTTGTTTTACCTTACTATTTATGTAGGTATTTTTGAAAAAACCCTAAATATTGATAAAAACAAAATGTAGGTACTACATAGTTAATCTTTGTTACACTCCGATAGTTAGTTTATGCCTATATGGCTATAAATAATATAAATCATGATCAATAAAATATTTTAATACTGTAACTTTTTTGTAAAAGTTTTTATGAGATAGATATATGTCTTTTTAACAAATTGAAGGTATATTATTCTATATTGTGTGATTGTCCTATTACAGGATGATAATAAAGATGACATGACAGAAAAGGACATACAAGATATAGAAGACCAACATGTTATATTAAAAAAAAAATTGGTCAATGCAAACATTAAGTACAACAGATTAAAAATCGATTTGAAAAAAGAATTGAATAATTTGAAAGATGCTAACCAACATGAGTTAAATTTCTTCAATAGAAACCATAAAGCATTAAAAGTGGGTATTAATAAATGTCAAACTGAGTACAATATTAATTGTTTAAAATTACTATTTTTTTTTAAAATCAAATTGGGAAATATTAACAATGATACATGTGCTAATGAAAATCGGTCATAACAAGCTAGTAGGAGAATATTAATTTGTGTCGTAACTTGTAACCAATTATTCCTTGTGAGCGATTTTTTTTACGCATTTATTAAAATATGTACAGGGTGATTTTTTAAGCATGCTGACCCCATTTTTATGCTTAAATTATGCATATATTCAAATTCTGATTTTTGGAATTTTTAAGTGTAGTTAAATACGATATTTTCGTGTACTTTTCACAGCATTTAGGGATTATCCTGTGGCGATACCAACTTTCGTTTTTCAAATGACAACCCATACGTTTTAAAGCAAAATGTGATTCAGATAATTTTTCTGAAAATGTTGACGTATTTTAATCGAAATTTGAACGATAACTTCTTTAGTAATTCTTCTTTACATACTAAGGAATAAGGATAATAGATAGACCATTATATTAAAATGCTTTGTAAAATGGAAATGAGCTAGATAATTATAATACGGTATGCAATATAAGATATTCGACAATAATTACTACCTAACCGAATTATAATTATCAATCTCGTATCCATTCACAAAGTATTTAGTATTTAATATATTACTACCCTTATTCCTTATTATGCAAAGAAGAATAACAAAGGAAGTTTTCAGTCAAATTTCGATTACAATACGCCAACTTTTTTAGAATTTTTTCACAATTTGCTTTAAAACATATAGGTTGTCATTAGAAAAACAAAAGTTGGTATCGCCACAGGATAATTCTTGAATGTTGTGAAAAATCTAAGTACACGAAAATATCGTATTTATTAACTACACATAAAAATTCCAAAAATCAGAATTCAAATATATGTATAATTTAAGCATAAAAATGGGGTGATCATGCTTAAAAAATCACCCTGCATATATTTAGAAGTTAACTAATATTTTTATTATTTAATTATACGTTACATTTTTCCACATTGAAAAACTTTTTAAAATATAAATGGCGTAAAAATATTGAAAAAATTAAATAAAATTGTAATAAAATGCAATTATTATGCTAAAATGGAATGAATGAAATTAATTCTGAAACTGTTTAACTCGACATAATAGGATAAGATATAATACACTGATAGACAGGTACAAAAGTTGTCATTATATAACCGACAACAAATTAATGATGGAATAAATAAATTATTATAGTGCGATGTACTTATTATTGTGTTTCTGTCGAGAGTTTGGAAATTACATTTCAGTTGTTATAAGCGAAATTTTGTTAAGACTGACTTTGTTATAACCAATTTTCACTGTATAATATATTAATGTGTACATATTTCAAAGTACAATATGCTTATGGAATTCTAACTGGAATTTCAACTTTGCATTGTTTGAGATTATTACAATTATTGATAGGTATATTATATGATATACATTTTGATTATATTTAGTTATATTTAGCTGTATTCAAATATAACATGTGTCTGAATTTAATATCAAATTTAAATAATGCATGTATGTTTTGTTTACAGGATCAACTCGAATTGATACTTTCGATGAATACATAATTCAACTAAAAAACCACCATCACAGTCGATTCACTTGTGATTGTTAGTTGTTTTACAATAATGATACGTACATAATGATACGTATTTACAGTATTATAGATATTGAAATCATGGTAGAATAATATTTTTAAGTTTCGTGAATGAGTAATTCAAAGGTAAAAATCTAAGTACAGGCAATACAGTAATTAATGTTTACACTGTAGTTACTAAACATATTTTACAATTTAGTAGCGTAATATAGTAACATCAGGATCACTTCACCTAGCCTATACTATATGTAGCCTGTACTTATCTACCTACATGTTAAACATAATCCATATAGCTCAAATAACCAGAAACTTTTATGACTTTGTGAAATAAAGAATTCTAAAAATATATGATTATCTACATCTTCTTTAAATGGCAATACAAGAATATGATGGGCGTTTACAAAAATATTCACACAAATGTCAAGACTGCTCAATAATGCAGTAGTTGTGCCTACTTTTAGAGTAGATCAGGCTGCTCAGCTGAGTTTCGTTTCAAAGGACTTTTAAACAATTTATTCATCTTGAAACCTAGTGATTAGTAAGAATTATAGTGTTGATTCTGATAAAACACTCTTTTGTGCATGTAGAACGAATTGAATTTAATGCTTAACGATAGTCATTAAAGAATAAACAAAACACTCAACCGGTGTTGTCTCTTTTAAGCTTCTAAATTTGTCTTTGTGTTTGATACCCCAAATCGTGTGGATTAGTCAGTTTTTACACTGTCGATTGTATGTTGCCGACACTTGCCAGTTACCATCATACGTCTTATATAAATTTCAAGCAACTAAATTCAACAATGTAGCCATGTAAGACTATATAGAATATACTTGTTTAAACTATTATTAATGGCTCTGGTTGCTGTTTGTACTCTTTAACTATATTACAACTGAGAGTTGAGACCAGACTTACGGGTCATGGTTGTCCGGGCCACTTTATTGCGTCTACATCGTTTGTTAAATAAAAATTAGCCACAGATAGCTGAACTTAAAATTGAAATTGTACGAGGAGCCTATAAGGTCATAACTAATAAGACATAACTCTAGGTTAAAATGCAAATTAAAAACTCGAATGTTAGCAGTTAATAAGTAGTACGGACGTGTTATGTTTTTAATAGATTTATGACTTAACGAGCCGAACAACTTTGAACATCAATTTTTTGACATGTTCATATATTAATGATTTAAAACCCATTTAATCGATTTTGGCCCAAAAGTTCGACGTGACATAATCGTATCTATTGTATATACTATTTTAAGTTATAACTATATATGAGTGCAAAACGATGTTATGCTTAGAGTTGTTCGCATGTCATTTTATATTTAATATTATCATATTAGTCTTCAAAATTACATCACTGTACGTTGTTTACGCTTTTGAACAATATTTACGTTTTCATATCGATTCAATAAAGAATTATTAAAATGGTATATAAATATTAAATTTACATAAGTATTATGATATGTATTACACATACGTGATATATATATATATATATATATGACAAATGCAGCTATAAAGTGTTCGTAAAACCAATGTATAATTTATGAGCCCCTTTTTTATTATTCGTTTTGATAAGGAAATGCACGTAAACGATTTGTACTCACTTTGTTTATTAATATTAAATATGGTGGTATAGGTATAGTATAAAGGTACAACGACATTTACAGACTACAATCTATACCCTATAGGATATCTGGTTTTCAAGCGTGCGACGTTAACACATCACATAATATTATAATTTATAACAATCATATTAAATAATTATTTTCATACGATATAAATTATTGGAAAACAATTTTTATTTTTCCATTTTGTTAAAAAAACAAAAAATACATTTTTAGATCTATATAATTTTCAGTGCACTAACAACATAATAATATTATATTATATTTATATATAATATGATTATGACCTTCACATTCAAAACTAAAATATATTTATCAAAAACAGTGAATAATATTTATACTTGTGTTCACAATAATAATAATAATTAATAGGTGCATTATGTGTGTATTCGGTCAAGGGCCGTTCATCGACTATTGCACCTACCCCGAAATGTGTGTGTAGCACTTCATAAAGTATTCTATAGATTGCAAATTAAACAAACATGATACATTTGTGAACTGTAAAGTTCCTTATGGAATTTTGTTTATACGTTTTATTTATTTAACGGTAAGAGGTAGTATAAGATAATAGAATTTATGCAGTCATAAAGGTTGTATTTTACATTTTTAACATCTTATTAAAATAAGACGATAGAAGATCGAGAAAAAAAACAAAATGATGGTGAAAAAATGCATAAAATAAAACGTAAATAAATGTTAAAACTGATGTTACAGAATCTCCGTCCAGAACCGTTCCGTTTTTAAGTGCAACTATTTATCGTCAATATTTCCAAAGTCCAGAGGACACTCAAATTAATTCTATACCTTGTTTGTATTGCAACAATGTAATTAAAGTATTAAACAGTATGGTAAATGTGATGATACAACTAAAATGTAAACAAAATATTGTTTGACATTAAAAAAATAATTAAAAGAACATAACAATATAGGAGTTGGTGACGAAAAGTATAAAATAAAAAACAATACCTGCAACGATTATAATAAAAAAAAACCCGATTTAACTGAATTGTTTGTTTTATTTGTTTCCGAACTAAAAGAGTGAAAGTGAAAGTAAGGTTAAACCGATCGTTCGTCTACCTAGGCGCCACTAAGATACCAGGATCCCATCAAGACGAGACGGCGTTCGGCGGCGGCGGCAGTGGCAGCGGCGGCATCGGCTGGACACATATATTATACGACGCATAGGTACAACACATTAAGAAGAGGACACCACATCGGCATGCGTTGTCTTCGTCTTACAAACGTACAGCAAAGCAAATTTTACGTTCACAATGAACCATTTTTCTCTGATATTTTTTTAACTGGAGTGAATTAGACCTATTATACGATTTAAAGGTAAAATAATTGTCTAGGGGGGCCCTTGGAGGCTATTATTGATATTTTGATTACGAAAAATTATAAATCATAACGTTCTTCAAAATTACAATATCAATAAAAGCCTCTGAGATGCCCTTAACAATATCTTTAAACTTAAATATTTAATAACAGGTCAATCCACTTAAATTTAAAAAATAACAAAAATGTATAATAATATTATTATTATTATATTTAAAATTGACTATTGTGAACGTGAAACGTGGGATGATGTACGTTTGTAAGACGGAGACAATGCAAGTGCCGTCTGTGGCGTCTTCTTAATGTTGTAATCTGTCTTGACTAAATAGTCTGCAATAATGGTTCATTAACATGTTATAATGTCATTTTTAGAGTTGATGTGGTTAAATGGCATTTTGTTCGGAAAACATTGTATTTGTACCGTAATTTCCGTGTAAACTTTAAACAATACTGCGGGCACCAATTAGGTTTTATTTGTAGAGAGCGATTCCGAATCGCTATTAGTAATAGTCAGTATCGAAGAATTAGCACGAGTACAAGTGTACAACACAGGCGTATTTGTTTCAAAAATAAATTGAAATTCTGGATAACGTTATTGAACTTATTCTCCGGTTTACAGTCTCCACATTATGGTCGTTTACATTATATAGATCATGAACTATATATAATATATGTATAATACACGGGTAATATAATGAAGCGGTATCGTATTAGTTGTTCTTTTCGATCGTCTGGAAAATTCGTTTGAAAATTAATCGCTTGCTGAAAGTTGATCGTTCTACACTCTGCAACGGGATTTTAAGTCTGCGCGTGTAACAGGTATATATATATATATTACCGTGCATATCGTACACCATCATATCATATGTATACATGCAAATAGCTGGTTCTCAAAATACTCGGAAATATAGTCATCGAAAAAATTTCGGGAGGGCATCGTCACCCCCCCCCCCCCCCCCCCCCCCCCCCCCCCCCCCCCCCCCCNGCGGTGCGCAGTTACATCACACAACTGTGCCAATGCATCGTTTGCGATGTTATTATCGTGCGGAATACAAATCCGTAAACACTAAACGGAGACCATTAAACACGCGCCGGTTATTCGAGTGTTTGACACTCGGCGCCGCGGCGTCGCATCGCTCGCGGCAAATCCAAATAATAACATCCCCCGACTCGTACGTATATAATAACGTTGCGTGTAACGGGTTAAATGTGCAAATTGTATTTTATACACATATACACGTCGGTAGATATACATGCACATGTATAATAATAATATTACGCGCCACTTTTGTCGTGCACTCGCGAAATACATGCACAGAGCATAAAACGCGTTACATTATATTATCTCGTCTGTATACGTGTATAATAATATTGTATAATAAAATAGAGAGACTCGCACAATATCACAACGATTTCTTCGGCGGGCTCGAGTTTAATATAATATTTTTTTGTAGCCTCCTCGCTGCTATATACCATATTATTCAGTACAGCTCTGCCGTCGTCTGCTAATCTTTTCATTTATTTTCATTTTTTTTTTTGTATCGTAACAATAGGTAGACAAATTTCCTCCCTGAAGTATAATATTATTACATACAGGCACCTGCGCAACTGTCCTGTAATAACAGTGTTTCCATCACCGTCGTCTCCCGGTCGGGCCACCTTCTCGTTTATTTTTTCCACCGTTTTTTTTTTTTTTTTATAATTATATAAATTATTACGTAGTATTAATGTACATATAAATACGTTTAAACGAATGCGTGTCGAGTTTCCGGCAGATCTTCGTCGTTTTGAAAATGTGTGGATTTTAGTCACCACTATTTGACTTCAGACATAATAACCATTATTATACGGAACACCGTGGAATAAATTCATCCACCTGGGTCGGTCGGCCGATTTACAAAAGTGCGTCGCTTACATGCTGCAATACAATAATAATATATTATTATTAAATACGCGAGTATATCCGTGCCAGTGCGCTGCCTGCTGTTATATCTGCAGAAGCAGATGACGGTATAGTGTATATAGGTGTATAAATGTATAATATGTTCGCATATTATAATGTATCATACATCGTTATTATTGAGGGCTGTGAGAATAATATTATGTGTAACGGCCTTATCGATTAATAATAATAATAATATTATTATTATTATTATTATTTATATTATTATTATAAGCGTCGTCTGTGCGGCGGTATATATAATACGGGTTTAATTAATATTTTTGAGTTCCCGTAGAATTTACTACGGGTAGTCGCGTGACAGTTTCCGAACGTTTATATGTATATATAATATAATATATAAATGTAATATATGCGCCGCAGTGGCGCGATAACCGGCGAAGGGAAACGGCTGCTGCCGCTCGCTGCTGCTGCGGAGACGACCGCGACGACGACGGGGACTCGGTGGAATTAATAATAATATTATTATTATTGTATCTCCCGCTGTGGGAGACGGAAAAAAATGAACCCGGTTCCGCGCTCGTTTCCGCTCGCGAGTAATTCTCACACGCTGTACAGGGTGTGCCAGCACGCGGTGTCTGCCCTCGCCGGGCATAATAATAATATAATACGTACTATATATTATTGTGGGCATATTGCCGTAAAACCAATGGCCCACGTGGCCGAGGGCATTGTATCAATAAAAAACGATTATAGGTACAGCGGGCAGCCCGGCCGCTAC